CCCCCCAAAAAAAAAATCCCATAAAGAAAAAAATCAGAAACAAACTAAAAACCGCTGTCCATAGGTTTAATCGGTAGATCTAAGACACCTAGATTCTACACCTACCCTGTAGATTTAAGACACCTACCCTGTAGATCTAACATACCCCCGTTATCTGTACAAAGTGGACTGTCAATGAAGCATAATTGGCCATCCAAGGAAATATTATACCAAATCCTACGGAAAACAGAAAAGACTCGACTTAGTATGCCCATGTTTCATGACCGTGGTTCGAATCCCACACAGGGTGTCCATGAATTGTATATTTTCTTCGAGATTTCTAGGTACTAAAACAGACTTTCGTTTAAACAATAGGACGTCCCATTTATTAACCCCTTCATTGCTGAGGTGTTCCCATCAACGTTTGCGCAGACAAGACAAAATGATCACAAGGGAGAGATTTTAAAAAGCCATGATATCTTTCCTCTTATTTAAGAAGAAACACCGACACAAGTCGTCATTACGTCAGTTGAAGACATCGAAACACCCTGATTCATGTTAAGAAATAGTGTGACGAACGAGGTCTGTCTCAGAATAAAATTTCCCTCCTCCATAAAATCAAAAGTACGAAACCAAGAGCCACTAAATTTTGTGACGTCATGCCATCATGTCTAAGAAATCCCAACGCCAAATTGTAAGTGCATTGGTAAACGAGCTGTGACGTGTCAAGAGTGGTTTTCTTGTGCACTTTACCCAAGGCAAATTCGAGGAAAATGGGTGAGCAAAACAATGGTGCAACCTTCTCAAGATACGATGTCCGAGTTGTGATCTAATTTTCAACTCTTCTCGGCAAGTCTGCAGTTGAAACCAATGGTGATCTATACAAAGCATTAGGGAATAATGTCCCATCAGTTCAAACAGTAAAGAAATGGCTCAGGGAGGTTGAAGGTGGGAGGTCTGAAAGATGAAGCGCACACAGAAAACACGGCGAGAGAAAGGTGATGCACTTTTTTTCTACATGAGGGACATCATACTCAGCTGGTTAGTCACACTTAGCGCAGCTGTCAATGGTGACTACTGCAGGTTCGTCCTCAAAGACAAGCTGAAACCTGTGATCCGGAAAAAAGACCCGCTTTGCTGGAAGGAGTCTTCATCCTGCATCATGACAACGAGCCTGTTCACAAGTCCAGAGTTGTGAACGAGCTTCTTGAGGGCTACTCGTGGGAAATATTGGAACACCCGCCCTATTTGCCCAATGTCGCCCATTGCAGCTTCCATCTCTTCCCCAAGGTGAAAGAAAAGCTGCGAGGTCGGCGGTTTGAGGACGAAGACCAGATTCAAGAGGCTGTGAGAAAAGCACTCGGGACCTTGGACAAACGATCACTGACCACTGTCTTTGACCGTTGGTGCATCTAATGGAAAAATGAGATGAGAGATACATCTTTATTGTCCAAATCCTGGCACATTGGTTTGGTGTTTCACCACGTGTACACAAACACACACAAACACACACACACACACAC